GAAAAAGGGGGGGGGGGGGAAGGTAGAGGCATAGAAGAAACAAGATTGGCCATGAATTGATGATTGTTGATGTCTTGATGGGTGCATGGGTGTCTATTTTTAAAGTAGCATTTTGTCCATTTTTATATATGTTAAATATATTTTACAATAAAAAGTTTTAAAGACATAGCAAAAAGAGATGGGCGATTTTTTTTAACAGGTATTACTAATGCAAATGCTTTCGACATTTAAAATATAATGACTTGGATTATTCATAATTGACCTTTGGATGAGAGGAGTCAAAAAGATTTCTACTCAACTTAATTCCAAGCAAAACAAACTTTAAAACAGTCACTGAATCCTTACTATGTTCAAGGCACTAGGCTTAGAAATATCCTACCCTGTGTACATCGTTCTGCTTCTGGACTGCTGGAAAATCGCCCCCAATAGGTGCCTGCCGGCTTAATTCATCATCTTTCAGCTGTAGCCACACCAGAAGTTCCTGAAGAGAAAGGTGCAGACGCTTCCACTGGTCAGAACTGACTTCCAAATGGGACCTGAAAGATAATAGGAGCAAACCATGTCAGAATATCTAGAAGCAAAATTGACAATTCTAATTACTCAATTAAAGGTACATTGGTTGGTTACTTCCATAGTGTATAAGTCTATTATGAGTAGTCTTCAATAAAAATCTGGCTACCTGTCTTCGCGAGCCATCAAATGGGGGGTATTTTGATGGAAACTGAGGAAAGGCAGTGTTAAACATATGTTTATTTCCGCCGGCAGAATTCTGAGACTTTTGGCATGACATATCTACCAGAATTGATTGCTTTCCCATACTGTTGCAGTCAATGATTCTTAATGTTTCTGGGTGAAAAAATTGGATCCAGTGACTAACAAAAACCGCTCGGTCTTCATGTGACTCACGCTAGTGCTGCAATTCTTTCTGCTTTGAAAAATGGAAAGGTCTTTCCCCACATTTTGACTTTTCCATTTCTACATCCTAGGCAGTCTTTTCCACGGACTCCTTCCATCTGGTGTCTGTTTCTTTCTGCTCCTCTTCCCATATGCTTGTCCTTTTTCTCCACCCTTCCTTATTCATGTGCACCTGGGATTTGTTTTCACCAAGTTCCAACATTTTCTGCTTTGTTTCCTTTGCGTAAAATGTACTGAGACAACAGCTCACGTGGAAGAGTAAAATCAGACATTTGTCTGAAAGCTTCCCCCAAACATGAATAATTTAGGCAAGAGAGAGTGCTTTCCCATTAACTGTATTTAGAACATGTTAATTCTTAGAAGTCATTTAAAAATATACAAATGAATGATCTGTGCTATAAAATCTACATTTCACTTGAGGATGAGAAGCTAAATTAACAAAATCAATCATCATCCAGAAAGCAAAGAGGAAAGGCAGAATGTTAGCAGAGCTTTATCCTCAGGTAAATCAGGAATTATGCTGCATCACTCACATATGATCAGCAACTAATTAATTCGTAAAAAAGAATGCTGCCTATAACATTAATATAATGAAGTCTCCAATCCTGCAAAGATTGAAGTATAAAGCAAAGCAACCAGGTAGAGCACCATTTCTCTTGACCATTTTGTAACTTAGCCTGACATTTCAAATACAATTCTCCTTTTGGCCTTAGTCAAACAGAATCACCAAAGAGTACCTATCTACTGAAATTAAATCTTTCTGAACTTGCTGAAGGATAATTTGATGATATATAAAAGTCTTTAAAATGTGCAAATACAATGCCTCACAAGCTTAAATTCAAGGAATTTATACTAAGAAAGTAACTGGAAAAGCATACGAAAATATAGGCAGAAAAATGTTATTTATAGCATACAAAGTAGAAACAACTTAAATATTCAACACTACGAAACAAATTACATATATAATGGTGAATTCATACAGTGAAATCCTATGCAAAGTTCCATATGATGACATAGGCAAATATTTATGGATGTGGAAAAGATCACCATGTCAGTTGCTAAGTGAGAAATCAAATTATGAAGACAAATACAATCTATTTTTCTAGTTTAAAAAAATGTTTGTGTGTGTATGTATTTGATTGTACATGCTTGACTGTGCATGAAGAAATTCTGGAATGACAACCAGGTTATCCCTCAGAGGTGGATTTACAGGTGATTTATTCCTTTATCTTTATACTATTCCACATTATCAGAATTTTGTTTCTATAATGTGCAATGTAAACACTATATTCAGAAAAAAATGAAGACTTTTCTATCCAATAAGAAAATTTAAACTGTTCAAGACTCAAAGGGTATTATTATTTAATAAATGAATCATGAAATACCATAAATGTCATGAATTAAATATAACAGTGCGTGCAGACTGCATATAGTATAGAGGTCATTTTTTTTTTAATGTGTTTGTTCCTTCCTTCTCTTTCATTTATCACGTTTCCATGATAAGTCTAAGTGAGAATTCTCTATGCAAGGTTTTAGCTGTTTAACGGCTTGTAATGAGCACTGGTTACAGGAATTCCCTGGAGTGTCTGAAATTTGCAACTTGGTCCCCTTGAGGGCAAAAGAGGCTTGAGGGCAAAAGCAGGACATTTGAAAGGTAGGCAGAGACATTTTTTTTTTTTTTATTCCTTTTTGTCTTTTTTACTGACCGGCCGCAATGGGATCGCAACCCTTGGTGTTCCGCCCGCACCGCGCTCAGCCAGTGAGCGGGAACAGGTCTCCACATGGGATCCGAACCCTCGGTGGGAGTGCCGCCGCGCTCCCAAGCGGCGCACTCTACAGTGTGCCACCGGGCCGGCCCAAGGCAGAGACATTTTAAAAAGTAGGCACAGTCCAGACATGGAAAAGCAGCAAACTGTAGAAGAGACACTAATTAAATAAACATTTATTGAGTGCCTCCAAGTCCCAATGAGGCATTGAGGATAAGGGAGAGGTAGAGTATAAAGATGCCTAATACTTGGCCTCTCTCTATCTGGCCCAGGAAATAAAATATCCTTGTGGTGGGAAAGTCTTCAGGAGGCTATGCTGAAGGGCATGCTGCCTAGAGAGTGAGACCTCAAGCTGCTGCTTTGTTTATGTAAAGGAAGTGTTACAACCCTGGGTCTAGGTTAAATGGTGCTGACTAATCATTAGTGTGTAAATACACCCCTTTGTGTCCTCTAAAAGAGAAAAAGATAGCTCTAAAGGATCTAAGAGAAACTTGATCGCATACCATAGGAAGGCTTTTAGAAGCCAGGGACAGAGGGCAAGTCAAGATTGTTAATAGAGCAGAAGAAGGACCTGGAACCACAAAAGATGGAAAGCTCTCATGTATCTGGGTGAGAGGACATTCCCTAAATTATGGAGTTAGGGAAAATTTTAGAATGTCTGATCATCTTAACTACATAGCAAATGACTATTTCTTTCTTTTTCCTCCTAAAGCACAAGAGTGAAAGGAATGATGTGATACGAGGACAAAAACTTAAGCAAAAGGCTTGTAAAGGACAGAGGACACTGGGTAAGAGCTAGAGAAGAGAAAGCCAGTCAGAGAATGGCTCCTGATTTAAAACAATGCATACAAAGATACACACCCTAAAGCTATGGTTCTCATACTTCAGTGTGCCTAAGAAACATTTGAGTAGCTTGTTTAAAATCCAGACTCCTAAGTCCAACCTTCCCACAGAATTTCTGTGCTTTTAATAAGAATCTGTACTTTTAACAAGAACCTTCGCAACTCTGCATGTAAGTTTCAGGAATATTCTTTGAGAAAGAATTGTGTAAAGTATTTCTTTTTTTTTTTTTTTTTTTTCCCATTTTTCGTGCCCGGCAACGGGATCGCAACCCTCGGTGCTGCCCCCCCCCCTCCCCCTGCCCGTGAGTGG